GGTCGATTACCTATGTTTCCATTCGTTTTCGGAATTGCCACAACTAAAGAACTAATCATCCTGGGACTCTCCTGGGACTCTCAGGAAATCCGATGCCACACATAAACCAAAAATGAAGAGTTCACTTAGTTCGGATTTTGAGAGGACACTTTGTAGTATGTATTTATAAAAAGAAGATGATAGGTTGCTGTCTCAGTTTCTGGAGATCCGAGGTGGTTTTTCAAAGATTCCCTAGAAAACCGATTTTCCGAATGTTTTCAAGAAACGGTTTTGCTCATGAAAATACAGACGAAATTCGTTTGCTGAAAATTGCAAGTCTCTGTCTTTAATTGTTCTTGAGTTATTCAAAAATATCCGGACCTACTGAATTTTTGAACAGACAATAGTATTAAAGTGTTCATAAGTTCATATTCATAGTTCATTAGTGGTGGATAGGTAAAGACATTGGCAGTGATTCATCACCAACTGACTTGAAAGCTCTGTATGTGTATAGATGAACGATATCACTCACTTAAAGACAACCAGACAATATAGAATAATATGCAATTATAATATCAAAAGAAAAAAACCTTTTGTTTCATTAGAAGCAATTTCTGGATGAGATATGGGAAGATGTGAGGACAACTCATCACCCTCTATCCACCCATGTGACTAGCGGTGAGTGTGTGTGAATGAATTTTGGCTGGGTGTGGGTGGATGTATGATTTACGAATATCTCCTCCTGTACTCCAGCTAAGCCAAGATAGAAAAAAAGATGGGCGGATGCGAAGACAACTCGGCACCCTCTATGGCAACTATGTAATAAAACTTTAGTTTGAGGTTGGGCGTGGGTGGGAGTATAGTTTACAAATACCCTGAAACAAGTGATCTACAAAACGTATTTTTCTCACTACGTGACTTTCCACTAGTCCGCTCAGTCAAGTCATATGACGACTTCTTCAAAGAATCATTTGATCGAGCTGAGACTTTCACCATAGATATTTAGACTTTATCTCAGGTTCAAAGATCTTTTGAGCGCTTTCGATTTCAACTTTTGGTGTGAGACGGCTTTTAAAATAAAAAACGCTATTTTTTATATGGAATTTTTAGTATTTTTCAAAAAGAAAATGTTGAACTGAGACAGGGTCTAGAGTCTCTCTGATAAAAGCTTTTAGACCGATCAGATCATTCTTTCGAGGGGCGTAATGTCACTGAATGAAAAATAGCGTTTCCCAAAAAACCACAGGAGAACATGTCAGAACATTCTGGGCAAAAATACATGGATTTTCTGTCTCCGATATAAAATCTCGAATCAGACATCGAGTTTCTGGATTTCCAAGAGAGGCGGAATGAGGGGCGGGACTACGCTTAAAAACAACGTAAGCGTTTAAGAAACGAATTTTTACTAGCACGACAGCGCCTTAACTATCCATGTGCTTGATCAAAATTTTTCGCACTTATACGGGTCTAGTAAAAAAACCTTTAAGCCCCAATACTGTATCACTTGAACCCGTAAATGTTTTCACAAATGACGCCTTTTTAAACTGCTGTGACATTTGTAAACGAGGATCTTTATCAGCAAACCTAACATGAATTCGAGACGCCTTTTTAAAAATAAAAAGAATAAACGCTTATTTGAAGTATAGAAAAGTACAAATATCTTTTTTCCATCGCAAGAAAATATTTCACGTAGCCAGTTTTTAAAAAATCGATCCTAGCTCGGACCTTTTGGTGACAGTGGTTCGACTCATGTCTACTTTAGACAGTTAAATATTCTGCTTCTTTGCGTGTTGAAGGATATGGGACTTTTATGGGCGCTCCACGAAGATTTTTATTCGTGCACACGACCGTGGCCGGGATGGGAAAGATCAGCAAGCTGAGAACTAAACCGAGAAAAAGTTCGTGTTCTCTCTAAGAGCAAACGATCTGCCTCTGTGTTTGAAAGTAAGGTGGTACGCTTTTTTGCTGTAGAAATTAATTTTTCAGATGCTACACTGACGTGCGAGAATCTGCGAGGTGGTACGAAATGCGTCAAATATACAGGTGGGGATAGATGCCTCTGTGACCATTGGTTGCTACACCATCGTTTGTGTGGAACATACGGATAAGAATTATGGTTTCATAGTTTTCCTCATTTTTTAAGGGAAGCATACCTGAATCTGGATTTCTTATCACAACACAATTGCTTAACCATTTTGAAAATGATATAAATTCTTTATATACTAGTTGATTTTGTGAATCAAGACCTTCCACTGTGACGCTAACTGTTCCATTGGTGTGATTATTTTTCGTCCGTATTTTTACTTGATGTTGTGCTTCCCATCGCCAGCGTAAGGGTCCGAACAGATCAATCGGCATTTTTGTAACCAATGTTAAATTTCTTTTCAGATTTTGGTTTTCGTGCCCATTGATAATTGGAGACAAAGTAAATTTAAATTCTGTTACCAACTGTTGACGAATGTGCAATTCAGCATTCAGTACTTCACCGGATGGACCACGAAGTATCAATGTTTTATTACTAACATGTATATGAATTTGAGAAAATTGTCTAATAGCACTCGATAAAATATTGTCGTCATTGAATTTTTTTTCTTCATTTTCATTTAATGGTAATTCACGAATAAATCTATATTCAATCCACGATGATTCAATTTGTCCGACAAATGATATGATGGCTGTTGAACGTACTGCAGTTAAGTAGAGAACATCACGTGCTAGTACAAGAGAGGCGGGTGGCGGTCCTTTATTTTTCGTTCGTAGTTTAGATGATGTGTCTATGACGGCTACTGTTTCATTCGATGGAGATTTTGGCGTTGCAACGTTATACTTTAGAAATTGTTGTGTTTTACCTTGCAGAATTTTTAGTGATACATATACCTTGTCCGAATATCCAGCTAACAGGGCTTTGGCTATTAATTCCCATTTGCCCGACCGAACTTGTGCGAGCTCTCGAAAATCATTAGATAGACTGAATGCTTTTTCTAAATTTGTATAACGTCGTAATGCTTGTTTAATTACGTGTGTAATGCGTGACAAACGTTTTGCAGTACAAACACGATCAACACTAAATTCTCGAGAGGATACGGATTCCCGTACCAACAGTACCATATTCATCACATTTAGCAATGTCATAAAATCACCTTCGGGAGGTTTATATTCTTCGGGAATCGATTTTAATATGGTTGATGAGTTCAATACAGACAGAATGGATGATAGAACAATCAAATCGCGACCACATCGATTAGTGGTCAAAGCAGACAAGACAGCTTTTGACATTGGCAATGACCCAAAATCTGGTAATTTTCCTATCTGAGCACCGTGGCTAGTAAAATGTTCACCTGGAGAAGTGCTCAATATACCTGCAACAAGAAACGAACAACATTTTATTTCAAAAGTGTCTTTTTTATATTAAAAGCCTTTCCAGATACCCTACACCACACGTTCCTAATCGCTATCATCAAAACTAATTCTGATTATATCGCTGACTCATTCTTAGTTGTTGATGCCAACCGCAAGTCTGGAGATCAAGTAGTTGCTGAGATATTCGCTTTTTAAAACCACTGGTTATTTTTTTCGAATGTGAATTAGTGCCAATTACATTCATTGTCCATCATCTCGTCTTTTTAATATTTCATTGGTATTCATAAAACTCTGGCTATATGTAACTCATATCAGGCTACAAAATGACGAAAGTCTCTGGTCGAGAGGTCGCTTTGTAAGCAAACTGCGTGTGTCATTACCTACCCTGACCATCAATTTTTCCCAAGATCGCCACTCTTCAACAGCTCAAACTTTTACGATAAACACTAAACAATGATTTCAACAAAACAGGAATGAAAGAAATTATTTTCATTATACAATCTCTTATGTAAAGTGAAATCCTTTTATCACAGAATAATTTTTTCGTACAAATTGAAGTGTATTCTTCTCGTCATTCAAATGACGTACAGACACCGTCAGTCCCACATTGTCCCACTATATAATGCCGTTGAAAACTTTCTGTGCAGATCTGACTTTGCAGCTGACCTCTGAAAAACATTCCGAAAATTTCGCAGTTGGCTTATGAGATCCGAAAAAACAACTGTCTCCCATCGACAGTAACATATTACTAGTATTTCTTGCCAAAAAATCAGCTCGATCGTCGAAGACAAGTCTGGCAGAGATTATTGCTCAAACTTACTGTGACTTGAACAGTACGATGTGTGTTGACACGCTATATATTCCGATTATCAAAATATCACAACTAGTGAATTTTGCCGTTTGTGGGAGCCGTTATCTAGTATCTATCCTAAAACTTTGAGCTGTTGGGAAATGGCTAGCTTGCAGAAAATTGGTGGCCAAGTGAGTAGTCAGTGACGCCTAGACCAGAGACTTGCAGCATTTTGTAGCGATATGGATAATGAATGTAATTGGCACTAATTCACATTCGAAAAAAATGACCAATGGTTTAAAAGCAAATATTTCAGCAACTACTGGACCTCCAGATCTGCGGTTGGCATCAAACAACTCAGAATGAGTTGTGCTTTTTAGCCATGTAATCAGAATTAGTTTTAGTCATCATTACCTAATCGTTGTAATTGTTTAATGGCATCATTAATGTACAGTTGATCTGGTTGATCCGGTAAATATTTTTTGAAATCTTTAAGACTAGTTTTTAATGGTGACTTTCGCAATGAAAATTCAATATTTACTAGATCTGTCTGACATATCTGCGGTATGGGATATGGTCGCTGTTCACCTATATAGAAAAAACATAGAATTTAGTTCTTTACTTGAATGAACATTTCATTCAATCTTACCTGGTTTATAAGCGTACAATGCATAATATTCACCTGGTTGTGTTCTGCCCAAACGTCCTAGTCGTTGTTTCGTATTGGATTCAGCTGCTTTAGTCTCTTTTAAATCTGTTCGTTCAAGCTCTAAACTGTACACTGGCATATTAATGAGACCGGTATCAATAACGTATTTCAAACATGGAAATGTCAATGATGTTTCGGCTACTGTTGTTGAAAAGAAAACTGCACCTTGCTCAATATTTTTTTCTTGCTCAATCGCCGACTGTGCTTGAATTAATGGATAGGCATCGATGGAACCATTTGTCAAATACTTGATCCGCTCACAGCATTCCTTGACTTCTTGTGTTGAACTGACAAAACACAAGATTTGATCGTGTCTCATACGTTTTTTGTACAATTGTTGTACTAAATCTAATATGTTTTCTTGTTCTGCAGAATTCACAGTTACTGGATGAAGTGTCGATAATGATATTAGATTAAATTCACTCAATGCACAGTTGGGTATTTGTCGGTACAATTTTGGAACGGATGCGTCTAGTGTAGCGGAGGAGATAATTAATTTCATTTTGGTTTTTAATTCCGGTTTAATTGTCAATAGACGAGCAAATAGGCCTAAGCATAAATCAATATTTACTGATCGTTCATGAACTTCATCCATAAAAAAGATGACGTATTTGCTTAATTGTGTATTTTTTGTTATCAGATTTTCATCATTTAATAAACGCTCTTTCAAAAGACCATCTGTCAAATATAAAATTTTGGCTTGAACATTTTTTTCGGCACCACTTACTGCCCATCCACTAATATCGCTGTCGATCATGGTATTAACACGTTGGGATATCAAATTACATGGTAAACGTCGAGGTTGTGTAACAATTATTTTATCATATCCTTCAGCAACCAACAAGGCTGGCAGAAGAGTCGATTTACCTAATCGAATGAGAACGCGTGTTTAAGAAAGGATAAGTATAGAAAACGTCGACCAAAAAAATATCTGAAGTACTAAGTATTGAACATTCAAAAGGCGGAAAAAGTATCGATTGTATAAAGTAAAGTCGATTGTTGAAGGTAAGTCCACCAACGGTCGATTTCCAGTTTTTGTATTATTGTTGAAGTACTCAATAGATTTTTCTGCCCTGTGATTTGATCCTTTTTGTCGTACGTTTTTAACTCTTTTCGGTAACGTATTGTGGCCAGACATGTGCGCCGATAAAAAATTTTCGAATGAAACTTTTACCACGGGCGGCGGCGGCGTGTGAATATTAGTTATCGGTGGCGAATCTTATAATTTAAGTAAAACAACGTTCTCTTTCATTTCTGGCATGTTCTTGGCGCCCCGACTGTATCTGTACGTTGCCGTATACAAAAAGATAGAAACGTGCTGCACGCTAGATGTCTAAGGTAAGAACGTACTAACAAAAATAGTCAAAATTTTCGGAAAAAAATTTTCTCCGTCCTCAGCGACGACAAAAGTTTATTGACATGGCGGCGGCAGAAGTCAGAACAGTTTTTCTTCGCTGTCAGCAGCGGAGGCGGAAGTCGCAATAATTTTTCTCCGACTTCAGCGGCGGCGAATCGACGAACCGACGCGACGGCGCACATCTCTGATTGTGACAAAGGATGAGGGTGGTGACGCTTTAAGTATCAATTAGCCAAAAGTACAAATTATTACATCAAATGTTTCAATACTATTTTTTCGGCATTTATATGGACGAGACTTGTCAGAAAAAAACTTTGTACTGGACTGTGTCCGTCTTCACTGAAAGTAGATATTAGGTCATATACACTCTCAAATGTGCCCCATCAGCTAAAAAGGATACTTTGATGGACGGGGAATGGAGCATTTTGAGTGCCTTACTCTGAGGACTTCAAGTACAAAAATGTGTCCCATCGAAAAAGTTGACCCACCGTTAGCTTTGTTAAGTGCTCCACTCATCGCCTGCGGGGCACTTGTTTTTTCACGGTGTACAGAACAATTTCGGATGAAACCGACTGGAAACAAACAGGAAGGTGAAAAACATAATTTCAAATCACTAAACAGATGGAAACGGCGGGTTTGACTGAATATCTTCCATTTTTACAAGTTTATATCTTTTACTAGACGACAAAACAAAATTAGATTCTTTGAATACTAACCTGATCCCGTTGCTGTTGTGATAGTTAACACTGTATTCTTATCTATTTTATCCATCAGATCAACTGATGCATCGAATAGTGGTAATTGTAATAGGAAACAATGATAAAAGATCATTATACGCTGTAATAATGGGACAATCATTTGAAAATGTTTTAATTCACATCCATTATAACTGGAATTAGTTTTTAACAATGTTTTTATCTTGTCAATATGTTTATTCAATGTTAAAATGGATTCTTTTTTTGGCACACTTTTCGATGAGTTTTGTTGCACTAGAATATGATCACGAACAAATTCGTCTAATGCCTGATGTTTCAATGTTTCAATATCAGTAAGAAGTTGTTTTTTTTTCATGTAATCGTTTGTCAATTTTTCCATTTCCTTCAGCGGTGGTTGTAAACGACTTTCAATGTAGCCGTCAATTAATAATTTTGATTGGTCATTGATATATTGATTGAAATTGTGAGTATATTCATCCAATTTCTGATGAATTAGTTTAATAAGAGAAGTTGAATAATGTTTCCAATTTGTCAATCTGGTTGAATGGACTCGTCCAATAATTCGTAATATCTGTCGAACACTTTTATTTAATTCTCGTTGATAATAATCTTGAGCTGATTGTACGACAGTAAATAGCGCTTGTAATCGGTCAAGTATGGCTTTCAATTGTTGATGATGTACGAGGAAACCTTTCAAAATCAACGTACAATTATTTCGATCGGAAATTTCCACAATGGGTACACTATCAATAAAATATTGCTTATGTGGATAATCGAGTGTTTTTAATATCTTGATTATTAAACTTAATTTTAATAGTACCAACTGACTTGATTGGGGTAGAGTATATTCAATGATGGATATTTTTTTCGCTGTTTCATTGATCATTTTTTCTTGATTCTCTTTTCTATCTAATACTTGATGTATTCTGTCTAATTCGGTCATTGTTGCGCCTAACTTTTGTTGATTTGCTGCTGACAGTTCATCGAAGTTTGTCAATTGTTCATTGATTTGCTGTTCTAACGTAGTCATTTTTACTCTGAGCTGTTCATTTTCAATTTCCAAAGTTGTCTTAGCTGCAACAGTTGCAGCAGCTTGTTGTACGTTATTACTGGCAACAGGCGCATCTTTTATTTCAATTTTCTCTTGACTATTTGCTGGTTTATTCGCTCGATCACTTACATAATCATTAAAGGTGCCCGGTTCATCAGGAATTATAGTCATAGTAGTAATACCAGTGAGTAGTGGGCTTCCTAAAGGAGAAGAAAAAATCGTGTATACGTTATACGGTGGGTCGAAAAACTATTCATATGTTTTTTCGAACATTTTTTTTTTAAATCGTATAAATAATTTCTTAACCTTTTGTACAAATTCAGAAAGTTCCTTGTTTCTTACCAAGTTCATTTTCTTCTGGAATATCAGGATTCATAATATCAGTTATTACCCAAGTACCATTATTGATAATTAACTTAGCGGATTGACTTGGCTTATCAGTGTTACTATCATCATCATCATCATCAGCTTCATCTTCAACTGTCATCATATTTAAATCGAATTCATCGTTCTCATCACCTACATTATTACTGTTTGTTGCTTTTGAACGAATCGATTGTTCCAAGCGTTTTGTTGTCAATGGAATCGGATTTGCTGAACTGACTGATTGAAAGTCATCTAATTCTTTTATTGTATTTTTATTACTGGATGTATTTGAAATGAATTTTGGTATCCATCGAATAAAACCCAATATTGTTTTCTCATCATTGGCAAATGTAAATTTATGTAAATTGGCTGTAACAGTTCCAATATACTTACAATCAATATCGACATATATTCGTCGATAATTCATTGTGTGATCTAATATATCGTTGACAGTTGTATTACATGTGTACCAATTATGGAGTTGTAGTTGAAATTTACTATCATAGTTAACAGGTATGGCTAACGCCTCTAACGATGGTGTTTTTGTTGTTTGAGAATTGACCTTATGGTGTTGTACGAGCATCATTTGCCATGTACAGTGAATATCAAAATTGGCAATACTCGATCCACGACAGCGAATCCAAGCCAAACTGTCTCTATTCGTTGGACTTGGATCTTGATTTTTACCCCCACGTAAAAATGTTAGTAATTGTACACTGTACGTACCTTGACGTACGCTTAAATAGATTGTGTTACTAAATTGTTTTTGTTCATCGGTTATCGGCATCAATGATGCTGACAATGTGTCATGTTCAGTTTTTGTGAATTCTTCCCATATAACTGCACGTACTGGTTTATATTCCCAAACACAATCGTTGACCGCTCGATTTTGACTATCTAAAATAGTTGTATTTGGCAATGGAACATTAGGAATGGTAGTATAGGTAAGTATGAGATAATTTTGAAAAAATCCTTTTATGTCTCTATTATGCTGAGCATTTTGTATAGGTGTTTCACCTAATTGATTTAATAAAAAATAATTTGCACCCTTGCCAATCAAATATTTGACAACATCCAGATGATTATTGTAACAAGCGGCATGTAATGCAGTCGATGCTGCTTTTGGATCAGCTTTATAATCCCGACTTATTGTTGAGGCATTATCTTTCGATAGAGCAAAATTGATATCCTCTATATTTTGAGCATTTACAGAACAACCAACTGATTCAATTAAATATTTTACTAACAGCAAGTGACCGTTACGTGCAGCTGAATAAAGTAATGTTGTACCCCAATAACCGGCTTTATCTTTGTAGTTTGGAAAATGGTTAAGAAATTCTCTTACAGTGTCCCTTTCACCGCGCAGGGCCGATGGATAAGCTTTTGCTGCCATTAGTAAACCACGAAGTTCACGTTGAAATGTGTAAAGAATATTAGCTGTCAATCCTTCGGTGAATGCTGCTTGTTCTCTATTAAAATGATATTGATGTAAATATTCTTCAATATAGGTTGAACAAAATTTTGACAACAGAGGTAAACTTCCTCGTAGTATATTTTGAACGTCATTTGTCAATGTATCGAGTAAGTCTTTTTCATCATTGTCAATTGTAAACGTGTTTACATTATTGTTTTGCACAGAATTATTGAACAATGGATCTTCGCCTGTTTCTGGTTGAGAAGTAGGAGGAGAAGCAGAAGTAGACGGCTGTTTATGTTTATCTTTCAGTTTTTCCGTAACTTGATCTACTTTTTGAATAATTGAATTCAAGCATGTATTAAGTTCTCTTTCATCTCTTTCATCCATTGCATGTGTTAGAATCTATAAAAAACGATAAATAACCTATGAAATAAGTTTGATACTCTCATGCACGTTAGAAGGCGTTAAAAAAAATTTTTCGAGAAAATTACACGGATTAAATTTTCGAATATAACGCGGGCTAACGTTTCTCCGGAGCGGTAACGAGTCAGATCGGGTTAAATATTCCAGTGAATTTTTTAATACTAAAAATTTCCTTTGAATGCGTAAAAATTGACATTTTGAACGTTTAATACGTTTAAATATATTAAACGAATAAAAATAAACTTTAACGCGTTCGCCTGTCTTAAAAGTTAATGCACTTGGGAGCCTTAAATTTTTTAATTTTATTAACGCATTTTTAAAAATTCAACACCTTCAAATGCATTAATAATTAACATTTTAATTCATTTTAACACATTAATGACTTTTTAATAGATACGAATGTGAGGTTCTACTCACTCAGTTCTCATCTTTATTTAAGAAAGTGAACGGCTATATATAGTACACAAGTTGAACAACAGTTATGCAAGAGTTGCGCATGAGTTACATAAGAACAGAAATAGTTTAGGAAAATC